GTGAACGCGCCCGGCGTGGCGGCGCTCAGGATCCGAAGGCGCTGGGCGTTCATCGGCGTCATCTTCAGAATCGCAGTGAGCAGCTCGGTCAGGTTCTTGTCGCGGCTGGCCCAGGTTTTCTGCGTGCGTTGTCCTCGTTGGCGTCGGCCTCCTCGTCAAGTTTTCCTTTTTCGGTCTCCCCCCTGGTCGTCGCCGTCCACCTGCATGCGGCCTTGCCAGGGTTCCCAGACGCCTGGGAGGATCCCATCGGGAGGCGCCAGTTTGCTCTGGTCGGCGCTGGCAGCGCGGCTGCCGCCGTCATCTCGTCGCCGGAGAAGCACGGGGACGACTGGAGTGGTTGTCACCAACTGTGGAACGTTAGCCAGGTGAGATGCGGTGGTACTCGCTGCGGAAGCTGCCGGGCGTAGTCATAGCGGTCGTGCCGAAGTCCGTGGCCCAGTGGAAGTCGGACGGCTGTGGTAGGCCACTCGAAGCTGGCGTCGTAGTTCGGCAGCGTCGCCAGGCGCCCACGCCGCTTTGCGTTTCTCCGAGAAGTGACGAGAGATATGCGCTGGGACCTGATGCTGTTGTGGAGTGGCCTTCACAGGTACAAGTTTGAGCCTAGACCCAGACGGCGCCAGCGGGATATGATCGGCGAGATGTCGTCGGAGTTCTCGGGGATCCTGATAAGTTTCGTGGCACTCGGGTCGGTCGCTGATGTTCGCAAGAGGGCATCGAGTCGCACTTGACGGTTTCCATTCGCGCAGGTGATAAGAGAGTTCGGGGATGCATCTATTCGATTTCCAGGACCTCTGCGGATGGCGCTGGCAATGATCGACGCAAGAGAAGATAGTAGCGCAGCATAGGCACATGTTGTCGATGGCGATGGCGTTGATGATGGTGGCGCGGCCATGACCAGGTGCAGGCGAGTGGGTCTGATGATTAGCAAGACGATGGACGGTAGAAAACCTCGCATGACAGTTTTCGATCGTGCATCGGAACGGGGCCAGCAGCTCCGCCTCGCTGTCTGCATCGCCCATCTCCTGGTCGGCTGCGGGCACGTCGTGTGCCATCGAGCCGCTCGCAGCCCATTGGCTGCTCACGCATGCGCTGCGAAAAAGGCGCATGTCGCACGCAAGAAAGGCCTGGCGGACGTGCTCGTCACGAGATAGAGCTTCAACAGTCGGAGGGCCCCACACCTCCTTGAACGTAGCTCCCATGGGGTGCTCCAGCAGTTGGCGTAGGTCGTTGCGAAGTTGAACCGCCCACGGATGTACACCTGCGTCGGCTTGGAGTTGGTTGTGTCGTAGTGGTGGCGTCGATGCTGGGCGTCCGTGTGCTCTAGCTTTGATCTCGAAAATGTAGTCGCCCAGAAACGCTGCCAAAAATTGAGCGTGGTGGTCGGGGTCGGAGAAGATACCTTTCCACCAGTTAAGTCGCTTAATCATAAGTTCCACTGCCGTCGGTGCGAGTTGGTCAGTCGTCCAACTGCGACGCGTGCCGTCTTCACGTTCTTGATGAGCTTTCCCAAGCAGCATGGCGCGCATCTGTTTTGCAAGACAAACGTCGAGCTTGTTGTACCCGGTCGGTGTCAGCACATATATGACTCCATGGCAGACCAAGCTCGCCCAGCCACATTGGTGATGAAAGTGCTGCGCTTGTATTTCCAAGGGCCAGGGCTAGCCCAGTAGTTCCCCAGGCGCGTCCATCCGATGGCAGCGGACTTGATGCGTGCTCGTATTTCAGTGTAGTTGGAGCCTGTCGGGGTGATGAAGCCGCCGAGGTGGATGAGGTTGCATACGTTGGTGCCTGCGATGCGGTGCCCGATGTCGCGAGTAACTCGGACGCAGGTGGTATAGACGAGGGCACCTTGCTTCTCAACGTTCTGACGGTGGCCTGTGGATGTACTTATTAAGTGTAACGTTGTCCAGGTAGTCGACGGCGAGCGCCCGTCGTGCTTGTGGTGGGCCTTCTGGTAGGACATAGATGCGGATGAGGTCGTCGACGAAAGCGCCCATGGTGATCTGCTGCGTCGTGTGCGTGATGGGGCACTCTGCGGCCAAGTCATTAGTGGTGAGCTCCGTAGTTTCGTCCAGCCAAGCCTCGACTCCTCGATAAAACGCCGCCATGAAAAGCTCGGGGTCGTTGCTGTCGCCCATTCGTCCTCCCGTAGTTAGTCGTACAGATACCTGGGCGTCGCTGGCGTCGACAGCAAGAACTGCGTGTTCACGATGTTGGGTGAGGGGGTCGTCGAAGTGTTCGTCGTCGGTGCGATCGTGGTGAGCCTGGAAGAGGGTGGAATGGTCACCTGTGGCGAAGGCGTTGCGCATGTCGTAGGACTTGGCGATGAAGTTGCGCTCGGCCGCGCGCAGCCGCCACATGACTACCTTGACTAGGAGCATTAGTTATTCTCGTCGGTGTTGTCGGATGCCGCCATAGCCCCATGATGGGGCTGGGAATGGTCCTCCGTAGTCGCAGAGGCCCACCCGAAAGTAGATACGCCACCAGTTGCAGAAGCAGTGTAGAAGTCTGAGGCAGTGGTTGATGTCGTGGATGTCGTCGCCGCTGGGTTCCTTGTTCTTGTTCCCGATGGTGACTACCTGGCTGGTTGTGGCCTGTACTGGCAGCATGCGGGTGGTGCGGACGTGAGCCAGGAGCGACGTGAAGATAGTGTGGCCGACGCTGGCTTCTTCAAGCGGCATGTGGCAGCAAGGGCGTCGGGCAGGTGCTTCGGCTAGTGCAAGTTGGCGGACTTGATGGTAATGCTGGTCTTCGCGTCCCAGGCCGATGGTCTGACGGTGATGATGATGGTGATGATAATGATGGTGATGACCACGGTGATGATGATGATAATGATGGATGATGGTTGCGATGACGACGACGATGACGATGAGGATGAGGACGATGATGATGATGGTGATGACGATAAGAGGAGGAGAGAGGGGGGGGCAGCGGGAGGAGGGACGCGGGGCGCTCTCTTCAAAACGAGGACCCAAACACCACATGATGGCCAGTAACAAAACAAAACAAACACAAAAACAAAAACATCAAAACCAACAACAACCAAAACACATCCTACACAAACGTAGCCGCTAAACAATTATGAAAGTTTAATCGAAAAGCTCAGAGGAGCATGAGAGCGAGAGTTCCACCCGTATACAAAAACGATGTTGGAATGATGGTCGTAAAACCCGCGAAGGCTTGAAAAGGCTTGAAAAGGAGCCGACCTCTACCCGTGAAGTTGTTGGGAAGCTTGAGACGAATGTGCGCGGGGCCAAAAGCGACAACCTCGCTTTGAAAGTGAATCGACCTCCATGTGTAAAGGTTGCACGCCTGCGACTTGTAAAACGAATTCACACGAAGCTGGGGCAAAAGGCACATTTTGAAACCCACCCGCCCGCCATCCATGAAGCTGTTGCAAAATATGCAGAAAAGAATGTACATGGCGAGAAGACGAGAGCTACACTGTGAGTACCACCCTCCTTCCATCCGCAAGATCCGCCGCCGCTCTTGTGCGCTCCTGGGGGTTCGCCGCGTGACTGTTCCAGAGAGGTCAAGAGCGCGTTGTTCGGGACGTGCATGTCCAGCATGGCCCAAGATCGCCCCGACCACCGTCCTGGAGCTCTCTCGGACGCCTTCTGGGCCATCTTGGAAGCCCTGGAGGGCGGCTCAAGAGGCCAACATCGTCGAAACCCATGTGCTTTGTATGGTGTTGCTATTACCACCCTTGTTGGTCTTCAGGGCGTCCACGTCGGCCCAAGGCGCCCAAGACCGCCCAAAAGCTACCCGAGAGCCCCCAAGAGGGGCCCAAGATTACCCCAAGACAGCCCCAAGAGGGCCCAAGAGAGGGAGCACGAACTGACATGCTGAGCCCTCCGCCCCAAGATGGCCCCAAGATTCCCGAGAGGCCCCCGAGATTCCCCCAAGAGGCCCCAAATGGCCAAGAGGCCCCGTAGACGCCCCAAGAGAGCTCCAAGAGGACCTCCAGGGGGCAAAAATCCTTGGGTCCCATTAGGTTGCTAAATGATATAATCGGTCTCGCCTTTTCTGGCATTCGACGCCCCAAGACGGGCCCATAGGCCCCAAGATCGCCCCAAGACGGCCCAAGAGGCCTCAAACAGGCTTGAAAGACGGTCGAAGAGGGTCCTGAGGGAGCTCAAGAGGCCAACAAGACGGCACCAAGACGGCCCAAGACGGCCTCTGAAGGCCAAGAGGCCCCTTAGACGCCCTAAAAAATCTAAGAGGACCCCCGGAGGCCAAAATCTATGATTATTCTGCGTGTGTTCCATGAGCTTCGCGTTCTCGCCTTCTCGGGCTTCCGACGTTCGGAGACGGGCCCATAAGCACCCAAGATCGCCCAAAGACGGCCGAAGAGGCCCGCAAGACGGCCACAGAGAGGAGAAGGAGAAGGTGGAGAAGGAGGAGGAGGAAGAGGAGGAGGAGGACGACGAGGGGGAGGAGGAGGATGAGGAGGAGGAGAAGGAGGAGGAGGAGGAGGAGGAGAAGGAGGAGGAAGAGGAGGGTAAAAGGAGGAGAGGAGAGGAGGAGGAGGAGGAGGAGAAGGAGGAGGAGGAGGAGAAGGAGGAGGAGCAGGAGAAGGAGGAGGAGGAGGAGGAGGAGGAGGGGGAGGAGGAGGAGGAGGAGGAGGAGAGGAGGAGGAGGAGGAGGAGGAGGAGGAGGAGGAGGAGGAGGGGAGGAGGAGGAGGAGGAGGAGGAGAGGAGGAGGAGGAGGGGGAGGAGGAGAAGGCGGAGGAGGAGGAGGAGGAGGAGGAGGAGGAGGAGGGAGGAGGAGGAGGAGGAGGAGGAGGAGGGAGGAGGGGGGAGGAGGAGGAGGAGGAGGAGAGGAGGAGGAGGAGGAGGAGGAGGAGGAGGAGGAGGAGGAGGGGGAGGAGGAGGAAGAGGAGGAGGAGGAGGAGGAGGAGGAGGAGGAGGAGGGCCCTGAGACAGCCCAAGAGGCCCCCAAGACGGCACCCTCGCCGCTCCGCGCCGCCCCTCGCCCTCGGCGGCCGGAGGGGCCCCGCCTCGGCCAGCTGCAGCTCTGCCATCCGGAGCTTCTTCTGCAGCTCCTGTGCGCCCGGGGGGGGGCCAAAAGCGCCCGCTGGCCTCCGCGCGGCGCGCTCCTCCCTCCCTGCCTCGATCCTTCGATCCTCGAGACTTCGACCCTCGATCCTCGATCCCTCGATCCTCGATCACTTGATCCCTCGATCCTTCGATCCTTCGATCCTTCGACCCTCGGCCTTCGATTCTGAGCCTCTTCTGCAGCTCCTGCGCGCTGGGGGGGGGGGGGGGGCAACAAGCGCTTGCCGCCCTCCGCACGGCGCTCTCCTTCCTCCCCGCCGTGCTCCGAGGCCCCGGGCGCTGCGATGCTTTCACGCCGCGCGTTCTCGGCCGGCCTCGGGCCCCGAGACCACCCCTGAGATCCGACGTGGCGAAAAAATTGCAGCGTCGTAACAAGCACGCCCGGAGCACTAGGCCACATCTGTCTGCATCATTCTAGAAGCCGGATCGATATGCGAGGGGAAAAATAGCGAAAACGCCCAGCCCGGCAAAATTGAGTCGCCAAGATCTCAGGGTTCATCGGGGATCTACTGACCCGGGTCAATCCAAACCTGATTGATCAGGTCTTTCAGGATCCTGCAAGATCCTGCACCCAAACCCGGGTCGGTGCGCCCCTGGCTCTGCAGGATCCGGCGCTGTGACTGACCCCCGTTTGCGCTGACCCCCTCCTCTTGAGACTCGAATTCACACCGCGCGTTCTCGGCCGGCCTCGGGACTCGAGGCCGACACGGGTCGACGTGGCTCGGAGAATACGGCAGAGAGATGGGCTCGAGTTCCCTCCTCCTCCTCCTCCCTCCCTCCCTCCCTCCCTCCCTCCTCCTCCTCAGCCTCCTCCTCATCCTCCCTCCCGCCTCCTCCCTCCCTCCCTCCCTCCCTCCCTCCCTCTCTCCCTCCCTCCTCCTCCTCCTCCTCCTCCTCCTCCTCCTCCTCCTCCGCTATTTCCGCTATTTGCCGCGCCATGAAGGGTTTGATCCCTGAAGCGCAACGCGGCGGCAGCTGCCGCCGACCGAGGCGCCTCCGCGCCCGAGCCTAGCCGCGCACGCGGCCGACGCGCGGGCGCCTTCGGCGCCGGGGGGGGGGGGGGAGAAGGGGAGCGGGGCCCAATGGTCTACTACGGTGGGCCAGGGCTCGCCTGGCGTGCCACCCCCTTTACCCCCCCAGCACAGGGCCCGAACCAGGAAACCATAAGTGGAAGAGGAGGCGGCTGGGGGTAAGGGGGGTGACACCAAATTATGTCCCTCGGGACCCCGACGGCTCAGCCCCCTCACTGGGCCACCTCGGTGGTCGGTGGTGTTGTAGTAGAGCATGATTCTGTCGCCCTCGAGCTTGTGGTACTTGACTCAGTCCTGCTGGTCGAAATCGTATGATGAGCCTTCTCCATTTGCTCCATTCACTCCATTCAACTCAGCATCGCTGATCCAGTGGTCGTCTGTCTCGATGATGGTAGGCTCTTTGTACTTGGCTCGGTCGCCTTGGTCGAGTAGCACTGTTTGGCTGTGTTGGGCTCAGGCTCTGGTACTCGTCTCAGTCGATGAGGTAATTGTCGTGCTGGTTAGGGTCGATGGGGGCCGGCTTGTTGCTGGTAGGTGGAATAGATTGTGGGCGCACTCAGGCCTCCATGCACCGACTCCAAGTAGGGTTCATGGCGGCCCTACCTCGTCCCGCTATGGCTAGGGGTCACGGTGCCCTCGGTGGGGGCGAACCCCAGGCCAAGTGATTCTTGCTGTCGATGAGGAAGGTCAACGCTGCCCTATGCTTCGCCCTTGGGCGCTCGGGAGCTCCGTCTCCGCCATGGGAATGGTGGGGGTGGCGAGCTAGGGCGGACCGCGGGGGCGCGGGCAGTACTCGTCCTGCCCCCCCCCTGCCCCTCACCATCCCCCCTGGTAGGCGCGGGCAGTCCTCGTCCTGCCCCCCCGCCCTTCGAGCCCGTCTCGAAGTTTGATCCTTGCCTCACCAGGGCAGCGTTGACTCGTACTTGGTGCAGTTGGGGTAATCTGGCTGGTACCTCTGAGCCCTGACTGAACGGCGGCCGTGTCCGTCAAAGTGCAAAACGTGGCGACGTGTGCCTGGGGTGTTCCCTCGCATTCGGGGCTTCCCCAGGACTTGCGTCCTGATGACTTGTGCAAAACTTGGCGACGTAGCCTGAGGTGTTCCCACGCACTCGGGGATTCCTCAGGACTTGCGTTCTGATTATTTTGTACTTGTCGTCAGGGCGCATCGTCGCGATCCGCGTTGTCAGCCTGTGCCCGAACAGCTCCTGTCGAGGTGGTGGCCCTGCCGATTGCCTTGCCGGGTCGGTCCTGCAGGGCCCACTCCCTTGCCTCTTCCAACCAGGTCGGTGAGCCACTCCGCCTCGCTGGGCCCCGATGGTAGTCCTGACCCATCTCCCTGGTCTTGTAGCGGTCGAGCGGCTGGAAGAAGTGGGCCACGTCGTCGTCGATGTGCCACCCCTGGACGTCGCTAGGCGACTCGCCAAAGCGCCACCTTATCTGCTTCGCCAGTGCGGTCGCGATGGCCTGGCACATCCTGTTCGGGTACTCCTTGGCCGCCGCGGTGCGCCACTGGCCGTCGTCGTTGATGCCTGCCAGCTCCGCGTGGTAGGAGGCCGTGTGAAAGCACCTCCCGCTTCCAGGCAGTCTACTGATTTCTGCTCGGAGGGTTGGTAGGGATACCGCCATCAGGCTTGTGGACTTCCTCGAACGCGCTCCACAGGTGCACTGGTCGAATGTGATCAGCTCGACTCCCTGCTGGTTCAGGAGGTGGCGCGTCTCGGGAAGCTTCCAGGAGCTGGCGAAGTGCTCCTCGGTGGGCTCGGACGGGTGCTCGAGCATGCCTGGGACTCCCAGGTTGAGGCACATGTACATGAGCTCCACCTGAGTCCTGTATAGGCGGTTGCCTGTCGCTACTTGCTCCATCTCTGGGCGGGAAAGGTAGCGAAGGCCCCACAGGCTGCTGCTGCTCCTTAGAGGTCTTGGTGGGCGACCCCTGCAGTCATTGGGGGGCAAGTGGCGCGCTCGGCTCCAGGTCTCGCACGGCGGTCCGCCGATGACTCCTGCAATTCTCCCTGCTTGTGCCATGTCTCGCCACTTGCTGACTGCGACTTCTGATGTCAGGTCGCCGAAGGTCGGGTCGTTGGCGATGTCCAGGCTGAGCATGTGTATGTCGCAAGCAGCCCGACTGCTGAGGCGGTCGAACCAGTCCTGGACATCTCCCTCTCGGCGACGGCCGCTGAATAGATGCAGCACGTATAGCGTCCGAGCTGGTCTGGGCCTAGGTACAGCAGCTGGCGGCGGTGGTGGCTCCTCGATGAAGGGGAGCTCTAGGCTCTGGTAGTGGCCGCCGTTGCTGTCGTCGCTGTCCTCGTCCGCATGTATTTCTGGAGGACGAGCAGGGACTGCAGGCTTCTCTGCCCAGTCGATGGGCCTGCCCGCCCTTCGGTTCGCCTGCTGCTGGTCGCGGACAATTTGCTGGTTGTGCTGCAGCTCGGCTCTACTTAGGATTGCTGGACGCGTCTTTCGCCAATGTCGAGCGCACCTGCGCACTCTCAGCAAGTGTTTGACCAGCCTGTTTGTAGTATGGTAATCCATGCCGCATCCGTAGCAGACCGAACCAGTTGCCCACGAGATAGGATGACCCGACGAGGTGTGGTCCTTGGTGATGTGTGCTCGTAGCACTGCTGCACTGGCTTCGGTACGTCCGCAGTGGTAGCATAGGTACTTGCGCTGCTGCTCGAAGTGCTGGTCTGGGAAGGGCGAGATGGCTTCCGTGTTGGTCCACCGTTGGAGTCGAAGCCGCCATCGAGCTTGGTAGTCGTGATCGTACTGGCGAGCTTTGCCACGTTGGCAAGCTTTCTTTACTGCGCTGAGGTAGCTTTGGTAGTCGTTCCTGGCCCAGTCCTTCCAGTCCTCGAGCGTGTATGCTCCACCACGCTCGTCAGGTCCTGTGTGGTCGCGGACCCAGTCTAGGTCGCGGCGGAGCAGTGCCACCCAGCCGTAACTACCATCCCATGCTTGGCTAAGTAGCCGGCGGAGGTGCAGGGGTCCCCAGTTGAGGCATCTGCCAAATAGTCGTAGCCGCTCAAGTCGCAGGACTATCTCTGGGGGCAGCTTGTCGACCCCTTCGAGAATCTGGGTGTTCGTTACCTCCTTTTTCTGTCGTACTTTCCAAGTGATCCTTTGCGCCGCAGCGTAGTTGACGATATACTGGTTGTTGAAATTCCTGGCCTGGCCTGCGGTGAGTTCGGGCCAGGTAGACGCATTGTATAGTAGCTGGGATAGCACCACACTGTCGGCTAAGTAGGCCTTGTCTTTGATGGCCAGCTCTGATCGCCGGTGGACTTCGCGATGGAGAGGCCTCGTGGATGTCGCTGCAGTGGCTACCTTCACTGCGACATCCACCCCAGGGGATGCATTGTCGGTCACGTAGGTCCCGAGGAGCTTGTGGTGACGAACCACCTCGACGCAACTCTCTGCAAGGGGGACCTCGATCCTCGGCACTCCCTCGGAGTAGAAACTGGCCCGCGCTCGCCGGCTCCCAGGCCCACTGAAGTCGATCATCACCTTGGTCTTGGTGAGCTGCAGCTGGAGGCCGAAAGTGCTGGCGGCGCAGTAGACGGCTTCGCAGAACCCGGTGGCCTCATGCTGAATGTGGTCGGGGCTGGTGAACACGTGCATGCCCGTTAGGTCGTCGACGAACGATAGGCCATGAGGTTCATGCTCCTGGAGTGGCCCATCTGTGGGGTCGGTGTCGCATGCGAAGCTGCTGTCAAGAGGCTTGCCCTGAGGTCGTAGCCCTCGCTGCGCAAGGTAGCTGTCAATCACGCGGTGGACTCGGCCGAATAGCAGATTGAAGTCCGCGTCGGCCAGGGGCGCGCCAGGCCTCGTGCCCTTGTGCGGCGCCATAAGGTTCTGGGAGAACCTGTGTGATGTCCACCTGTTGCGGTAACCTTCTGCAATGAGGGCAGCCAAGTGGGAGCCGTCCAACACTGTGTCGAGTATCCCTGGGTTGG